ATGAATACCTATTTCAGCTCATCAAGATGATAACTGCAAACTATTAAATTATCACATCTAATATATCTGGATCCTCTTTTTTGTCTTTTATATATATGCTTACATTTATCTCCAAGAACAAGGTTTGCTAGTAAATTGGTCTTACTTGTATTACTTCTTCTGCTAATTATCATACTGAAAGGCTATGACATTGCTGGATAACTAATATTTCAAGATAATTCATGCTTTGTAGCCTCATTCATATCCATAAAGTAGAGTTTCATAGATAGTAGTTTTTTTTTTTTAGTTCTTTTGTATAACAGATTAGAAATCCATAACTCTGATTTTATCTAAGGGTGTTTTATAATTCAGAATATTTTTTTTTTTATTGAAGAGTGAAATAAAAGAATATATATAAGAAGATATGTGCTATAGGAAGTATATAATTAGTAATATTATTATTATAATGAAAACTGCATTCTGCTAAAAGAAGAAATTGAGTGATACTAAGATTATTTTGAAGCTAGTAATTTCATTACCTTTCTCTGGTCTGCTATTACCTCTAATTACTTTATTAAACTCACTGGATACTTCCGAAATTTGCTCTGCTAAATGTGTATTAGTTTTTTAAGGAAGAGACTCTTTTTCTATAAAGTTCTCAGCTAAGTCTGGATCTGCTTCAGCTCCACCTATTATGTTCAGTTTGTGGGATGACTAGAATATTTGTTGTTTTAACTGATCTTCCAATTCTCTCACTCTAGACCTGAGATAGCTAATTAACTCATATCTATTTATTAGATCTCTTTCTACTTTCTTTAGCTCATTTACTTTAGCTCCAAGAGAGGTAATTTCAAAATCTTTATGCTTTACTTCGGCTTCTAATTCATGTTTCTTTGAATTTAAATCATCCCTTTTCTGCTCTAATATACGATTAAGGAAATTTAATTTACTTATTTTATCTCTAAATAAAGTAGTATCTGAATCATAAGATATATGTTCTAATTCCATCTTTGATTCCAATTCTTCTACTTCAGCTTTTAGTTTATCTATTTCATCTTTAAGACAAAGAATTTTATCCTTGTCAAGGGATAAAGCTTTCTGGACGAGGGTCACTTTTCTTTTTAGTATTTTAATCTCAGATTTAAACAATTAGATTTCAGTATAGAATGCCTGTTCAGAAGATCTAAGCCTAGTATTAGATGCATTTAGTTAGCTAATCTTTTTTCTAGTATCAGCTTGAACTAGCTCAAGTTCCTTTTCTTGCTTTAAATATATACCTTGCAGGTCTTTATATTCATTAACAAGATTAGAAGCAGATTTGATACTACTATGCAATATATTCTCAAGTTCTAATTTGCAGATACTACCTAGCTGATACCTAACCCTTTTAGGATCTCCTTTATCTTTTATATGTTTAATGTATATATATTAGATATAATCTTGGTATAGTTACAAAGCAGAAAAAAAAAATATGATTTATTTTTTTTTTTTCTTGATGATTTCTGAGACAGCTCTGTCCTAGAAATTTTGAAAGTACTTTATTTTTTTATAAATACTACTGATACTACGATACTATTTATAATATCTATATTACTACTAATATTACTAGTATAGTACTGATACTACTGTTTTACTGATACTAATACTACTAATACTACTATAATACTGATACTATCATAGTATCAATATTTTTTGTATATTTTTTATTTGTAATATAAAAAAAATCTCTTAGCGATTAGCTATTAATATGAACAAATCCTTACTTAATAGATATAT